TGCTCCTCCCGCGGCCCTCCTCCTAGTCCCCTCTTGCTCTACTCCCTACCTGCCTCCCCTTGGTCCTCCCTGGCGTCCTTCTCCTTGCCCTCTACGGCTCCCCACGATGTGCCCAGCAGCCTCCCCGTGCTCTTCCCCCCTAATCTCCTCTCTGCCTGTCCTCCCCTGGCCCTGCCCCACACCACTCACTCATCCCCACTCCACTCCCCCCAGCCCAAACGCTGATCTGTTTAGTTTTTTTACATTTTCAAGAATTGTATATAAATGGAACTATAGATTAGCTTGCATTTTCTTGAGTTGCATATATATAGAATCATACAAGTAGGTACTTGATTTTGTCTGGCTTCTTTCACTCAACATAATTATTTTGAGGTTCATGTTTTTGCATGTGACAGTTGTCATTCCTTGTTAGTGCTGAATAGTATTCCCTTTATGGATGTACCACAATGTATTTATCTAGTCACTTGTTGATAGACGTGTATATTGTTTCCAGTTTTTCCTCATTAGCAACAAAGTTGCTAGAACACTTCTGTACAAATCTTTGTATGTACATGTGCTTTCTTTTCTCTTGGCTAAATACCTGGAAATGGAATGGCTAGGTCATAAAGTAGGTGTAACTTTTTAAGAAACTACCAAAATATTTTCTGGGGCAGGCCGGTGTCCTAGTGGTTAGGTTCGAGCTCTCTGCTTTGGTGGCCCAGGCTTCAAGGGTGCAGATCCCCAGCACAGACTTACCCACCACTCTTAGTTTTTGTAGATGCCAAATTTTTTGGTTTTGGTTTTGGTTTTTTGTATTTGCATATGGATATCCAGTTGTTCCAGCACCAATTGTTAAAAAGACTACCCTTTCTCCACTGAACTGCCTTTGAATCTTTGTCAAAAATCAGTTTTCCATCAATGTTTGGGTCTATTTCTGGATTTTCTATTCTGTTCCATTAATCGATTTGTCTATCTTTACATCAACACCACAATGTGCTGATCATTGGGCTTGGAATCATCTAGCGTCAGCATGTAATTCTGTTCTTTTCCAAGGTTGTTTTGGCTATTTTAGGTCTTTTGTAGTTCAACATAAATTTCAGATTCAGCTCAATTTCTACAATTTTGATTGGGATTGTACTGACTCTACCCATACATTTGGAGATCGATATCATAACAATATTGAATCTCCTCACCGATGAATAAGATATGCCTCTCAATTATTTAGGTCATCTTTAATTTCTCTCAGCAGTATTTTGTAGTTTTCACTGTACAGGTCTTGCAAATCTTTTGTCAGATTTATCCTGAAGCATTTTGTATGTTTGATGCTATTGTATTGTTTTATTAATTTCAATTTCTGATTGTTTATTTCTAGAATATAGATTTGTATATTGATCTTGTATTCTGCAACTTTGCTAAACTCATTTTTAGTTCTCGTAACGTTTTTATAGATTTTATCAGATTCTCTACATAGACAATTATGTCATCGGTGAAGAAAGAGTTTTAGTTTTTCCTTCCTAATACCTTTGATTTCTTTTTCTTTCCTTATTGCACTGGCTAGAATCTGTACAATGTTGAGTAGAAGTGGTGAGAGTGAACATCCTTGTCTCTCTTAGAGGGAAAGCTTTCAATCTTTCACCATTAAGTATGATGTTAGCTATAAGTTTTTCATAGATACTCTATCGGATCAAGGAAATTCCCATCTATTTGTAGTCTGCTGAGAGTTTTTATCAGGAAGGGATGTTAGACTTTTGTCAAATGCTTTTTCTGTAGTTATTAAGACAATCATATGGTTTTTATCGTTTTCTTTTTTTAATTTGATTGATTTTCAAACGTTAAACCAAATTAGTACTACTCCTGTGATAAACTCCAGTTTGTCTGTTTTCTTATCTGTTTTATATATTGTTGGATTTCATGGATTAAATTTTTGCTTAGAGTTTTCACGTCTATGTTCATAAGGGATAGTGGCTGTAGTGTTTTTTCTTGTAATGTCTGTCTGGTTTTGTATCTGAGGAATAAGGAAACTGATTCAGATCCAGGGAAATTAAGTAGGTTGTCCATGGTCACACTGCTAGGTAGTTGAAGAGTTTGTAAAGTCCCCCTAAAGTTTAGAATTTAGAAACTATCGAGGAATAGCAGAAGTTTAACCTACCCATCTTCAATCCCCAATCCCAAATAAGGTTAAGAAATGAATTTAACATGTGACATTATGAAAAAACATGGAGTCCAGTCTAAGACCCAATTCGGAATATCTTACAATTAAAAGATGCATGACCTCAGTCAAGTATTCAATCTATCTCATCTTCAGTTTCCTTATCCCTAAGATGGGGTTATTGCAAGGATTAGAGATGACAGCTATTAGAACACCTAGCAAACTCTCTGGCACATAGTTGGTTTTAATAAATGTTAGTTATTGTTATGGAGATTTAATGAGGAAAGCAGTGATGGGTAAGCAGAGTTGACAACCAACCCATCCCTGCATTTCTGTGCATCCCCCCATTCCCAGAAAGACATTCCAAATACAGAGGGAGCCCCTCCCTCCCTACTGCCATTCTCCCTTACACCTGCTATAAGAACTCTTGCCTCATCTTTGCTTAGGCCCTTTCTGGTCTTGAAATGCCCCCTCTGCCCACCACCATTTGTTTAAATCCAGTTTAACTATCAACACCATGCATTAGTCTCTTATTAGCTCTATGGTCATAGCATGAACAAAACACTAGTTTATGTTCTACCTTCCACCTCATACACTGAGTGGTAGAGACTACTAGTTGCCTGCCCAATATCCATTCTCCTCTCTTTATTTACAAACAGATCTTTGATTTTATTGAGGGTAGCAATGTGCCTAGCTAAAATGTTACACCCACCAGCTCCTTTGTCACTAGTGGTGGTCATTTGACACAGTCTTGGCAATGATAGACAGAGACGTCACAGGAAGGCTTCCAGGAAAACTAGTTAAAGAGAAGATGACTCAGTTAGCACCAGCTTTTTGTTCTTCCTTTTCTTTCTGCCTGGAAATTAGTCATGATGGCTAGAGCATTAGTAATCTTCTAATATACATGACAATGAGATCCACACCCTGATATTAAAGAAGGAGATGTCAGGAAGGGGCCCGGCTCCCTGACGACTCTGTGAAACCAACATATTGGGTTGCCTACCTTCAGATTTCCCACTACATGAGAGACAAATCCATATTTTCTTTAAACCACTGTTATTTGGGTTTTCTGTAACATGAAGCTGATACACTCTATATCTGGGGTCCTGAATTTGATTGTGAGAATCTTCTGGAAAGGCAAGATTCTGTAACTTTGTGTATGTCTATCATACTTCCCTGCAGACTATAAGTGCACAAGAAACAGCTATTCATAATAAAATCCTTAAAAAGATAAGATAGTGTGACTCAGAAAATGGGAGATCAGTTCAAAAGCCAGTTTGCTTTTCCCTACCAAAAAAAAATATTTGGGGAAAGTATGATGGAATGGAATAAACTTTGCACATTTTCTCCCCACTGAAGAAACCATATGCCTAAAGTTCAACATCAATGCTCATGTTTTTCTACTACAATCTAGAAAATACCTAGAAATGAACCAACTGGGATATACTTAACTAATATCTGTAAAAGATAGTCTTAAAGCATTAAAGGCAGTGAGTGAAGACTTGAATAAATGGTGTGATAGAACAAGTGTAGAATGATATAGGCCCTGGGTTTTGTTTTGAGCTCTTCCCCTAACCAGATACAGGTTTTTTGGGCCTTGGTTTGATCATCTGTAAAATAGCATGAGTGTAGGAGAGGGTGGCCCAGAACCAGAACTCACATGATATCTAAACTCTCAAGTCTGTAATCATATGACTTTTGGTGAAAAATGGAAAGTTAAACTCTCCTGCTGATCAGAAAGCTGAAATGGTGAAGACTAACGTCAGGTTCAAGTTAATTTACAGATTTAAGCAATATCGTTTATAATCCCAATGGGTTACTTTATAGAAATGGACAAAATAACCAAAATAAATGTGGAAAAAAGAATATTTTTGTAATAAAAGTAATACTGGCCTCACCAAATATTAAAGTGCGTTAACAAGTAGTTATCAAAATGGTCTAAGCAAAAATTAGGCCAAGGAGTTAAA